TATTTAGGAGAATATAAAATTAAGAGCAATAATTGGCAATTTTAAATGACCTCAAATGTTTGGGGGAATTCACATGAAGTCCTCATTAAATGGGTGCACATTTTACCTTTATCTACTTATTCATTTCTCACTGGCCTTCCATTTAGAAAGTAGCACTTGGATCCATTTGTGCTTAGTACTGTTCTCGGAATTCTAATTAATTTAATAGTACAGACTGTAAATTGATCCATGGTGACTTGTATGTGGAAAGCCAGTTATCCCTTATTGTCCCAGCTTATGTAATAATAACTGTGAATATATTTCATTTGCCGCCCCCTCCTTATACATGAACATTGTATAACATTGATACACATAATGGTTGGAAGTGGCCTTTGTAAACTAAAAGTTGAGTGCAGCCTCTTCTCTTGAGTTAGAGTGAACTTTGTTTTAAAGGGGAAAAGGTGCAAACAATAATTGCCATTTCTCATAGCAAAAGTAAGGATTGAAAGATTGCAGCATAACAGAAGCTGCTTTCCCATTTAATAAAAAAAAAATTAAAATCAAATGTATTGTACTGAACTAATTCACACAAAAAATATCCAGTACATACATATAATAGAATTAATGGAGTAATATAACTTCAAACATAATGTTATAATTTTTAAAAGGGGACAAACATGTTTTTATAAACAGCTCCAAAATCTTTCACCATATTGCTTGAGGCTTCTTTGCCTCTTTAAAAACAAACGCTGTCTTGATCCAAATACTGGGGATATAGTCATGAACATATTTATATTTAATAAATATTGATTGATTGATTTTATAAAACTAATTTATATACCTACTATCTACCAGGAGGAACTTGATTCATAGTCCTATTAACAACTCAACGGATGTTGGCCCAAAATGTAACAACAGGAGAAGATAAAACCATATTAATGTTCCAGTTCCTGAGTTGCATCTCTAGCAGCAACCACCCTTTATCATTCTCTAAGGCATCCAATATACATAAAGTAGTTATTTATTATATAACCTCATTTTAAAAGTCTAACTTTACATAGCATTGCTATCTCCAATTGTCTGCTTCAGCAGTAAGAGCGGAATTAGGCTTTTACCCTCTAAATAGCCATTCAATGACCAAAGTTTTTACGTATTGGTTGAAGATTCAAACAATGGACCCCAATAGACTTCCTAGAATTTGCCTAACAGAGCAGCTAAGTATGTCGCAGCTTAACACGTGGATTCGTCAACTTTATGATATCTCACGTCATGGGTTCTCTATTCAGCACCTACTACTTAGGGCCCCCTAAGCAAGGGAAATTTTCAAGCAGAGAGTTATGGACATAAGTGCCCAAACTGACTTGGAACTTATAGCCAAAAATAGATCTTTAAGGTGGTTGGCTACTAACAAAATAAATTTTCAACCTGAAAAATACCTATTTATGAGTTTGCCTCAATTTCTAAGAAGAGCTTTTACCAGAACAAGATTTTGCCCAAACTGACTTGGAACTTATAGCCAAAAATAGATCTTTAAGGTGGTTGGCTACTAACAAAATAAATTTTCAACCTGAAAAATACCTATTTATGAGTTTGCCTCAATTTCTAAGAAGAGCTTTTACCAGAACAAGATTTGAGCTGTTGGACTCAATGGCCAAATATGGACGTTTCCACAATATTCCATTTCACGAAAGAACCTGTATATGCGGTTCACCTGATATCGAAAATATTTTCCATATTCTGTTTAGTTGTCAATTATATGCATCCATCAGGCTTAAATACTTATTCCCATTTCTGGAAAGAACAGAGTACCGGGACCCGAATTTCAGACTGTCTTATTTTCTCCAGGGTACCAATACATATATTGTATGCAGAACTGCCATATTTATACTGAAGGCTGGGGCTTTAAGATCCCATTATATAGAACAAATTGGGGTATCCTGTAAAGGTGATTTCCTTATCTGATAATTGTCTCCTTGTATTGTGATTTTATGTATCCTTTTATAGTTCTGCATATGCTTTGTTTATATTTTTATCTTGTGGTATTGATAAGGTCAATTGACTAATCAATAAAATCTAATCTAATCTATCTCCAATTTTATGCCCCCAAAACCTGTGAGGTAGATTGGGCTGAGAATTACTGACTGGCCCAAAGTCACCCAGTGATGTTCCACAGCTGAGGATGGATATGAACCTCGGTTTGTCTGGCCCTAATATAATACCCTCACCATTACATCACACAGGTTAAGAATTCTGGGATCCGAAATCTGATGCAGAAAGGTGATCTTTGTATTTTTCCCCCCAAAGAGTAAATTCAGAGCAGTTCCAAAATTCTTACTCAATGCTGAGTCAATGAAAATTAAAGGAAAGATAAGAAATAGCTGAATAGCTTTAATGGTGGTGGCCAGGACCATCATCGTGAAGCTATGTTGATAAAAGTATGTAAAAATTGTTTATACTCTTTTCATATGGAGAGGTTTTTAAAAATTGTATTAAGGCATCAGTTTAAACAGTTCTGTCCTGGGTAAAAACTCAGGGCAAGGGCTATGACAAACACTTATTGGGATGTGTAGTTGAAAATCTATTTTCAGCAGGAAAACATTATGAAGTAGGCAATCTGAGATCCGAGGTAACTTATCTGGACACTTTTCAGTCTGGTTTATGGTACTGAGATGGTATTGATTGTACTTGTTGATGACCTCTGGTGGATTTGGGATGGGAGGAGTGCATCCATCCCTGATTTCTCAACAGCATTCAATACCATTGTGAATGCAATGTATGCTTGTGGACTGGCTTAGGGGGTTGGGAGTGGAGGTATAGTGTTGCAATGATTCTCCTCCTCCTCCTTTGGGGGTTGATTCCAGTTCGTGTTGGGGAGAAAAATCTAATCCCATACCCTTGCTTTGCAGGATGCCTCAGGGCTCTACTCTCTCCAGCTTTAGTTTAACATCCATATGAAGCTGCTGGGTGAGGTTCAGCATGCTGTTGATACTGTAACTGTATATTGCTGTTCCTGGCTGACCCAAGTGCCACCATCAAGGTCCATTCCCAGTGTCTGGGGGCTGTGGGGGCCTGGATGGGGAAGGACAGGCTTTGGCTTAACCCTAGCAAGACTTGAATGACTATGGGTTTGGGGTCCTTCTCAACCTAGTTCTGGAGATTTTCCACCATTGGCTCTGAAGAGTTTGCATTCCCCCACTCAAAACTGGTGCATAATTTGGGAGTCCTCTTGGACTTTCAGCTCCTGCTTAAGGAGGCGATAGCCATGGCCAGGAGGAGCTTTGTACATTTCCATCATGTGCCAATTGCACCCATTCCTGCATTGGCAGGCTTTGCTTACCATCATTTGCAGATCAGTCACCTCCCAGCTCAATTATTCCAACATGCTCTACACAGGGCTACCCTTAAAGACCATCCAGAAGCTGCAATGTTGTTTCTTCATTTGTCCCCACCCCCCACCCAGATGCGCATGCTCACAATCTTAAATCAGTTTATTTATCTTCCACAAACTGAAAAAAGACAAACAACCCTAATGAAATGAAAGATACACAAACTTTCATATGCAAATGCTGAGTACTGCATGATACAATCCAGAGCTCAAGAAAATGCTTAACTCTTAGATAGGGAAACTGGTGCCTAGTTCTCTAAAACATCTATAATCCCTTCTCACTGGTCATGCTAACCAGAATCAAAGGAAACTGCATTAGCATCCAAATAACCTGTAACACATCAGTTTGCCTATTCCTGCCTTTTTATATATGTCAAGCTGTAGTTTATCTTTCAAGAGACCCAAACATTTCAGATCCCTTTTAGATCTCCAACCTCATACCTCCCTGTTTCAAAGTGCTTGGGTATGGCTATAACCCCAAGAATTCCACCTGGCAGGTAGTCACACTATCACCTGTTCTTAAATGTGGAGATGTAGCCTCCACCTGAAATTGGTGTGGAACAGAACAAGAAAATCCCATTATCCAGGAATGAGTTTTCAAACAAATGCTTCCAGATTTCCCCTTTTAACCAGATTCAAGTGGTTCTGGGGTATGTGGTGCTAAAGACAAAACCTCTGGAGTAAAAGGAAAAAAGGCAATCTAAGAAAAACTTTAGAAAATAGGTTAGCTGCTTCACTGAAAACGTCATACCAAAGTTAGCAATCATTAACCTGAGCAAATAAAGAAATGTAAAACTATCAAAACTGAGCAAAGCAGCACTGAAAAAGAAAAAATAAAGATTGCCTTATGCTCTACTTGTAGGTTTCCTGCCAATTTTACCTTACTAGTTCCAGTTCTCCCAGGACCTCTTGGGCTTTGGGCCTGGATTCCTAGGCCTAATTAGCTAAACTCCATTTTTTAATCTTTGCTTCTGAGGACTCTCAACCAAGACTGGTAAGGACAAACTAGGTTCTCATTTCCTCTTATTAAGAATTACACCCTTCCCCCTCTCACTAGAAAAGGACATAGACTGTTAAGTCCTCAGCTGGCAAGCAGCCCACTCACTACAAGTCACCAATTACCACGAATCTTCTCCATAAGTCTACTTCATCTTCTCACATATGTGAAAAATCTCTCTACATCTTTTTCAAGTGCTCTGCCTCAGATACATCAATTTACTGAAAAATGATCTGTGTCCCTGAAGAATCAACAGAGTCCACTGCAGTGGTGAGCCACTTCAGTGCATCAAATTATTGCCTGGAGATTCTATAACGATCATTTCAAAAATTTAGCCTTCAACTTAAATCTACCAGTTATTAAAAAATACCTGAATAATTCCTGTCCAGAAAGCAATTTAAGCCTATGCAAAGCTTGTAGACCTAAATAACGGATGATGACTCAATAAGCCCCAAAATAAGTTTGCTTGTGATAACTAGCATGATCAAACAACATATGGACTTGAATACACCTCTTCTGCCTTGTGAATGCAATGTAAAGCAAACCCTTGTGATATGCATATATTCTCAACATTCTGATGTAGTACAGAAAGAAGCAGCTTGAGCACTTGCATGTTCAAAACAATATTTTATAGCAAGGGTTATGTTATGTAGGTTGCAGAATCAATAGCTGGTAAAACTGTAAGAAAGCTTGCATTTTTAGATTAGATACCACTGCAATCCTAAAAGTATTTATTTGGGAATTAAATCAATGGTTTCAGGTAACAACCTGCCAGAATTGAGCTAAATTCTATAAAATCCGCAGCACAGGACATGATTACAAGTTTTTATTAATCATTTTTACAGTCATTTACAACAGTCCTTTACAACAAATTGTGTTACTTCACACAACCATTAAACTTATATTAGCTAAATAAGTAATTCAAATGCCTGAAACCCACCCTTCCTGAACATAGGAAGGCAGCAACATCAATGGTTTCTTAAACATGTTATAATCCTAAGCACATATACTTAGAAGTAAGTCCCACTGAAATCATAGACAATCAAGTAAATTTGGTCAGGATCCAGCCAGGTTTCCCCAGGTTTGTTTGGTAGATTTAATATAGTACATTAGAAATGTTGTTCTATGATAAAAGGTAGATTTAATCCCAGGACTCATCTGCTGCATTTATATTTGATGCTGCAAATCCTCTACTATGATGATTGTCTTTGCCATGGAAAATCTACATAAAACAGAGTTCAGATTTTCAGATAAAACAAAGAAAACTGTACGTTGCAGGAAGAAAGTGTGCTATGTGGTTTATTTTCAACATCATATTAGAAAGTACTTTTCAGATGCTTGAAAGATGGGCAATCTTTCAGCATTTATCATAAACAGCCTGAATTACAAGGAACTACAAAGCCATATTTCTGTATTCTAATGCTCATGATTAGCTTCCACTAACAGTATATTTTGTTTGTGCACAAAAGCCCTAACAATTACTACTGTTCTCCATCATACCACTAGCCCAGTTAGCCCAAATGTTTATTTCTCAAACACAAGAATACTTACTACAGTCTATATATCCATGTTATCTTTTTACCAGACTATTTAACAATCTGTGTATAAAGAACCTTAATATATGGTAATTTCCACCATACATCACTTCCCTTATTCTATCCTTTTTCTTGTAATGCTTGCTTCATCATTTATCCCTATTGCCGATACCCATGGCCACAAATATTGCTCACTCTCATCCTAGTTTGATTCTGCTTTTAAGGATTTCTGAATATGTTCTGGAACCAACGGTCTTTCAAAATTACAATACCTAACCTATGTTTAAGTAAGAATCAATTTTATTTAGTATTTACCTTTCGGGAATCAACAGCTGCAAACATATTTCCCTTTGGATTACTAAAACCAATTCCACTTGAACTACAAGCAATTTCTTCTAACCATGCTGGAACTTCTTGTTGAGCCTTGAAAAGAAAAGATCACATTATTACATACGCACTGTTGTCTATTTACTACTGTCTGTTTAAAAACTATTTTAAAAAATAGAGAAATGAAAGACAACTTACATCTGCAAGCACTTTGATTAGAGGCTGCGCAATAGCACTGTCTGACTGAGGATCAAAGAAAGAAATTGCTTTGCCTGTATTACCACAACGCCCAGTTCGTCCAATCCTATGAACATATTCATCAATTGTGGAAGGGAGGTCAACATTTATAACATGTTGAACATTTTCTATATCCAGACCTCTTGCTGCTACAGATGTAGCAACAAGAACAGGGCATTTGCCAGAACGAAAATAACGAAGAGCTTCTTCTCTCTCTCTCTGCTCCCGATCACTAAAAACAAACAAACAAACAAACAAACATCATCATCTAGCCCAATTTGCAAAGATATGTTAAGAGATAGATCTATCTATCAAAGTGGAGGGTAAAGCATATATGCATTAGAAAAAATAATAAATATGCCATTCAAAGCTCTACTCTGTATGAATGAGAGAATAAGGATATCCCTCTACAGATTGATGTATTTCAGACAGTAATCCAAAATTTGTGGTTGTCTACTGTAGATTGTTCTGGTTAGAGATAACATAGTAGTTTAAAAAACAATTTGTCTTTACCTTTATCATCTCATAGTTTAATTGAAAACACAGAAAGGAGATGACAATTTAAGCATTTCAATAGCCCTACTGTTGTACTGTACTGGTAATCCTTGACTTACAACCATTCGTCCAGCCAAGTTACAAATGTGCTGAAAAAAGTGACAACCAGTGCTCAAAGTTACAGCCACTGCAGCACCCCTGCAGTCATGGGATCAAAATTGGCAGCCTACCTGCACTTATGACCACAGGGGTGCTTCAACTCCCTTTACCCGCCTATCTCACCCTATCTATGCCCTCTGGGCCCCCTGCCACACTGCGCTCTACTGCCCCAGCTGTCTGTCTGTGCACCAAAACATCCCTTTGCAAAAGCCCTGCCCCGCCCCACCCCGCCCAGGAGCTTTTTGCAAAGGGGCTTTTTGGAGCAAGACCACAATGAAAGCCAGCTGGGTGGCAGAGTGTAGGGAAGCAGGGGTCTCAGTGTGCAGGGTGGCTGGGACTGGGTTGGGGCCGGCTGCGGCTTCCCAGGTCGTGGCAAGCAGCCCCAGAGCTGTGCAGTTCTGGGGCTGCTTGCCACCCCACAAGGCAGGGTGCAGGGTGGCCAGAAGGGCAGAGATGGGGAGAGATAGGCAGGTGGGGGAGTTGGAGGCAGTCCCTTACTTTACTGAGGCTCGAGGCTGGGAGGGACCAATCCCAGAATGGCTTGGATTGGGGTGGGTACTCACTTAACGACCCATGATTCTTGATTAATGATGGCAATGGAGGCTGCTGGGATTGCAGTTGCTAAGCAATGCAGTCATGTCTCGCTTTACGACCACATCGCTTAGTGACCAAAATTCTAGTTCCAATTGTGGTTTTAAGTTGAGGACTACCAGTAGTAATATGCAAATAGTTTGCTACTAAATTCTGACTCCATCCCCGCACCCCCGTAATCTAGCCTATATCTCTGGATTCACTGAGAGAACTCCTGTCCAAATAATACCAAATAATGCATAGTTTTTTTTAAAATAAGACAGTCAGCTAGGTGGTGCAGATAAATATTTTGTTTAACAGCTTTTTTTAAAATCTTGGGTTTTAAATCTTGGTTTTAAAAATCCCCACTTGTTTTCAATCAAAGCTTTCCATAATACACAACTTTTGTATAAAAATTCCTATCATGTACAAAGCCATTCAAATGGATTCCTTTTTTTTTAGTGCAATTTTTCCTGGGCCACTTTGTTATGTAGGTTTTCCTGACCCTAGCTCTTTAAATGCGTATTTAACTGTTGTCTTTTTAATGTATCCAGTCATTTTTATTGGAACCTTCAGCCTTTTTCAGTTGAATCTGCCATAAGGAAATGAAGATTTATATAGATCTTTAGAGATCTAAAGAGAAAGGCAGACTTCATAGCTACAATAGTGTTTTAAAAAAAATCACAGTCTCTCTCCCATGGAATTCCACACTGTTGTTTTACTACTGGCTGGGGACAATGGCTGTCATTACTTATTTTTTGCAAACTATTAGGGAAGCCTTTTTTCCTATAGAGTATGGTTTAAATATTCTGAAAGTCACTAGATCATGGTTTATTTTTGGTTTAGATAAGGGGAGGCACCTCAGCTTCTCTTGGTACTTAGCTTCCTTGCCCCACCTGCTGCTTTAAAGATTCTTTTAATTAAAAAAAAAGGTAAACCTTTCTTTCTTCAAAGCACTATGTTCCTGAGAATGTGTCTAGGTTCCACTTAGATCCCTAGGCATTATTAGAAAACAGAAATATAAATAGTTGCAACCAAGTACTTTGGAAATGCTCCCACCTATCCAGAAAAGGGCAACATCATTTTTGAGGGCTAGTTTAAATTGGTGATTGTGACAGGAAGCACAATCACCAATTTAACCTCTGAAAGAAGAATTATCATAACTGGCCCTGGCAGCCAATTTGTTTGAAATGGCACAAAAATGTTGCCTACCCACAATTTACTCACCCATGAATACTTGTGGTTGCTATGTTTTCCTGGCAAAGGAAAGTTGCAAAAAAATCTGCTTTTTTCTTTGTTTCCACGAACACCATAGTTCGTTTATCACCTATAAGAAAGCAGACAGTAATATTTCATTCTCCTTCAAAAATATTTCTGTATACATAGCATACACCCCTCCAATTTTACACCCACAACTTCATCTCAGTGATGATGATGGTTTGAGAGAATGTGACAGTGATCCTTCATCAAATGGTGTTTTTCTATTGTTCTGTTACAATTAACTGGCATGGCTCATTGAAAACAACCTTGCTTAAAACATTGTAAACTGCTTTTAGCTCAGAAAATTTATTTCTTAAAAACTAATGGACCATCCCCAGAACTCTACAATCAGCTGATCAGGAGAAGAAAAAGAACACTGTGGAGAATCCATAATGCACGTACTTACTACTGGCCAATACTATGCTACCCTACACACTTGGCAGCCCTATATCAATTTAATAATCAGTATTATTAAATAAAGGGTTTATTCAGTTACATGGCCTCAGTTACCTATGTCATTAAGAATTTCAACAAGCTTGTCTCTCTTGTCATATTGAGTCACTTGAAGTATGGTCTGCTGAACATCACTGCATGCTCCTCCCACTTGTCCAACAACAACAAATAAGTACTCTGTCTTCAAAAATTCTCCAGCAAGCCTTTAAACAATTAAGTAAAAGTAAGTTACTTTGAATTAGTGCATCAAGAGGGAGAGGGGGCAAATAGTTTGGGAGATGAAGTATTACACTACTAATGTTTTATAGTTAGTAAACCTGCTACTAAAAGTAAATGTACTAGTACCACTTCTATAAATACATACTATTTAAAATTACTAACACTTATTGTCCAAATAGGCATTGTAAAAAAATAGGCATCATTCCAAACAATTAACTCAGAAGATACTCTTTCTATGAAGAGTCAGTTCCTCTTAGATTAAATAAAGTAGGCATTTAAGTAAAAACCTGGCAACTGGGATTCAGAATTTTACTGAGGTGGCATGTGTATTTGATTTCACTCTGAATAAATAATCAGAAATTTACATTTTGTAAACTGTATTTTTAAAATGAATTGCTAATACAGACCTTTGGATTTCATCAGGGAAAGTGGCACTAAACATTAATGTTTGGCGTTTGTCTTTTGACGGCATGCCTGGAGATGAAATTAATTTCTTTACATCAGGGCCAAATCCCATATCCAGCATACGATCAGCTTCATCTAACACCAAATATTTTAATTTGCTCAGCCCAATCTTTAAAAAAATCAGATAAACAATTTAATCCAAGAAAAAGAGAATGCACAATTCTATTTTTACATGACAGCTGCACAAACTCAAATTAGCCCTCAAATATATATGGGACACTTTACATCTTTCCCTATATCCTGCTTTAAAGGGCAATATAGCCTAATTTCACACAAATGATTAATTATATCTAGATGTTGCTAAATTAACATCTACAACTACCATATAGCAGCAATACTTAAGAGGTATCTATGAACAGAAATGTAGCAACCAATCTTATTTTAGTTACATTGGTAGTAGAGACAGTTGTGCTGATGGTTTTTGATACTGTGCATTTATATTTCTTAAAAATGAAACTATTCCGGGAATGGTCAAAGTTTGTTTCTATCAGTAATTCAGATGCTTCTCTCCCCTTCCTTCATGTATCTATCACACTATGATCCTGCATTCCCTATAATTTTACATGTCCAACATTCCAGATCCAGTACCAAATCTCTTAAGTAACTTGGATGGTAGGACTGGCAAGTAGCAAGAAGACTGTGAAGAATCACTGCCACTACAGATAATTCTATCTGAACAATCATATGTTCCCTGGCTTGAAAAAAACTGAACACTATGTTATAATGGCCAGAATCTGTTCTCACCCTTCTAGTCTTAATACCAATAGCATTTTCTCACTGGCCTGTTCATATATGAAGTACCTTTTTTGTGAATCAATTTAGGATATATTAACTCATCCTCATCATCTTCTCAAAAAACCTTGTTTTAAACTGTATCTGACCCTTGCAATAAAGCAGTACTAAATCTGAAGTTTGAAGGAATAATATTTAAGAAAATAGTGACATAGAGATCTTACCTTTTCTCTGCCTATGATATCCAAAAGTCTTCCTGGGGTAGCACACAATATATTACAACCTTGCATTATCTGATTAATTGTATGGCCCATTTGTATACCTCCATAAATCACAACAGGCCTTATACAAGTTCTAGTTAACAAGAAAATATACATTACATTTGTCATACAATTAAAAACAGTGAATGCACCCCAATGTATTACTATTAACCTAACAACAAGGCCTTAACAAATTTCTGCAATATGGTATAATAACAACAGACCTAATACTGCATTACTTTAGGTTTGTTTGAAATATTTAATCCACAGCATTTGATAGTCTATATTAAAGTTAAGTGGCTATACTTTAATCCCCCAGTGCTAATATTATTTTAAGATATACATGGGACATGTATATGTCCCAAGTATATCTTAAAATAGGAGTACAATTATGTAAGAATGATATAATAATCAATATTCATTCCTAGTCAGATTCACTTGTGTACTTTTCTCCAGCCCAGTCTGCAGTATTAAAAAATTGTGAACACTTAACATCTGTATCCAATGATTTCTAAGTAGCCACAGTTACAGCTTTAGCTTTTTGTATTTCATTTAATAAATACACCAAGCAAGCTGAAGAAATCAATTATCAGTCAAATGTTTCCTTTTTTGCACATGAATCAGCAAACACTTTGGTTCCTCACAGAAAGTCAGAATTAAGTTAGAAAATTATTAAACCAAAATAAATAGCATTCCAGTATATCAATCTGAGACAGTTTCCCAATGTTCACAACCATCATAACACCTTATAAGCTAAATTTAGATACATACTGAATAGATATGTATATACACTACTATAATTTATTTTTTGGTGGGAGTGCTCTACCATTGCCCAAATACTTACCCATATGAAAATTTTCTTGATTCCAGAAAGATCTGATTTATCAGTTCTCTAGTTGGTGCTATTATTATACATTCCGGTTCTTGTTGCTCTTTGAACTGACTACAAGTCACTCCATCTTGCATCATGTGAGCTAAAATTGGTATAAGAAAAGCTGCCTAAAGGGCAAATATATTACAATTGAGAAAATCTGTACTTCCAGAACATGACAAAGTTAAATAAAGTGCATTTCTCTAATCCAACCTTGGAGATCTATAAAAAAAATTAAAAAGTACACTAAAATATAAAGGTCCAGCATCTACTTTCAAACATGGAGAATTTTCCTAATTTTTTTAATCCCAAGCAAGTGATCTAGTTATAAATCTCATTATCATGAAAAGGGATTCATAAACAATATTCCTAAGAAAACTCTGCAAGAAGAAAAATGGCTCATTCATCTAAGACAATACTAAAAGAACAAACCTGAAATCAACGTTAGGAGATCTCTATTAAAGTACTGAACAAATACATCCAAACTGTCAAGAATAGTTTTATTTTTTTGTATTTAAACTATTTGTATTTAATTAAACTTCAGTTATTCAATCATGAAACTCAGATTACTAATATATCAATTTCAATTTAACCATTCCCATTAATGAAAATATTTCATAATTGAAAAGTGCAGTTGAGCTGAGAGTGAAATATTCATACAACGGACCAAGTCAGTAATTTGAAAACTTCAAATGTTGAAAACAAATATTGATAAAATACTAATAAATCCACCCAAAACCTCTAATTCAAGTAACAGAAACTAGTATTTTGTACTTACTGTTTTTCCAGATCCGGTTTGTGCACATGCCATTAAGTCACGTCCTGCCAGAACAACTGGAATGCTATATTTCTGCACAGGAGTAAGTTTAAAATATCCAGCTCTAGCTATGTTCTTTATTAAGGTTTGACACAGATCAGCTTCTTCAAAGTTCTAAAAAATAGATTAAACACAAAACAACATTAAGAAAACTAAAAATATAATTTTAAAACACTTACTAGCATATAGCAACTTCAATATATTTTGTGGATTATATCAACCCATATCCCCAAGCATAGCCTGATAAAGAAAGCCAGAAATTATATGTAAGCCTAAATTCTTAACAAAATCAGAAGATATAATAATCCATTTTTCCTGTTATTTTTAATAGCAAGAGAAGTTTGGTCACTAATTATATCCTGATACTTTCGTTTTTAATCAGAAATCATTGATAGTAGGTATGTTCTATTTAAACATTTTGTACTGACTCCAAGAAGCGCTGGGGACATAAGGGAGGCAGGTGGGCCAGTGGGATATGCTGCACTAGGAAATCAGTTGGCACCTAAGGAACGGAGGGAAGGCACTGTGAAAATCAGGAAGGAAGATTATTAGGCTGCTAAGGGAAAGAAGGAACAACATTGGGAAGATCTGGGGTGGGCAGATGGGACATACAGCAATAGGACATTGGTAGTAGAAGCAATGGGACAAAAAAGATGGGGGCTGCAAAAATTTTGTTCTGGCTTTAAAACAAAACATTTTCTTATCTCATGCACAACCTTTAATTGCCCCCCCCCCCCAAGTTACTGACGTAAGTTAGATATCTTTTTCTGTTCACCAGTTACAAAGCTTATTGATAAAACTGGAAGCTCAGATGAAAAATGTCTCTATCACTTAAAATAATAATTGCTACAGGTAGTCCTCGACTTACAACCATAATTGGGACCAGAATTTCCATCGCTAAGCAATGTGGTCATAAAGTTCAACGTCATGTGACCACATCACTTAGCGATGGCAATCTTGGCACTCTCCATTGCTGTTGTTAACCAAATTCCACTGGTCATTAGCCAAGGACCCACCCCAATCTAAGCCATTCCGGGCTTGGTCCCTCCCAGCCTCGGTAAAGGACTGCTTCTTCTTCAGCTCCCCCTACCTGGCCATCTCCCCTACTATCTCTGCCCTTTTGGCCACCTTGCATCCTGCCTTGCAGAGTGGCAAGCAGCTCCAGAACCGTGCGGTTCTACAGCTGCTTGCTATGTTGTGGCTCTGGGGCTGCAAAACACCCGAGCCACAGCACGAAGTCTCAGCTGCTCCACCCCAGCACAGCAGCACAGTGGAAAGGGGCTTCTTGGTGTGCCACGGCTCTGGGGTTGCAAAAAGCTGCTGGCCACATGAGGCCATCTTCCCCAGGTCTCACGAGAAAACCACTATGCATGACCTCAGGAAGAAAGCCTCGTGTGGCCAGCAGCTACCTCGCAAAGGGCCAGACCAGGCATGCTTGGTCAGCAGCGGGAGCAACATGATGGCAAAGTTCAGCTAGGGCAGCAGGGGCCATGGAATGCAGGGGGCCAAAAGGGCATAGATGGGGGGTAGACAGGTGAATGGGGGGAGCTGAAACACCTCTGTGGTCCTAAGTGCGGGAGGGCTGCCATGTGCCTGAATTTTGATCATGTGACCACAGGAGTGTTGCAATGCCTGTTACTTTGGGGACCAGTCGTAGGTCCCTTCATTCAGTGCCGCCATAACTTTGAACAGTCACTGAATGAATGATCATGAGTCGAGGACTACCTATATGGCATTTCTATCATTTTCTTCAGCTCTTTATTTTCCACAAGAACTTTAAACATTCACTAACCAATATTGCTGGTGGAGGATCAAGGCCCGAAACTTCTACAAGAATATTATCGTATTTATCAAAATTTATTCCTGTCTGGTAATGTGCAAAGATGGCATCTTCACCATCAGGTGGTGGTGGTGGTACATATGTCACCTTTGGACCTGCAAATACAAGAAAGACATTCTGATTCTCAAAAGGTTCTACGTGTGGAGCAAAAATCTTATTATCTGCTTTCAATCATGGACTGCCCCATTAATTCATTCATTCTGGTATAACTTACCTGTATTGTCACTTTTTTCTGGATCATCACCTGATTTCCATATGCCTTTAATGATGAAATTAAACAATGGTTTGGAAGAAGAAGAAAAGATTGTCAGAACATAAAAAGAAAATTCCAATACATTTTAAAACTTGCTTACATTTAAAACACACTTACTTCTTCCAGAAACTACATTTACTTCTTCATTGCTTCCTCTGTAACCCCCTGTTTAAAAGAATTGTTAGGTTACTTGACTGGTGATAAAATAATTTTAGCACTATAGCGGAACTGAATTTTGAAGTTATATGCAGCTATATGGATGATTTTCAAACTAAGAACTTCAAATGAAACCAGAAAAGGAGTGTTCAGAGGTAAAATAAATACACACGCGCACGCATATAGAAACATCATGCAAGTTCTAGTGTTAATTCTATCCTTCAGAAAACCAAGAAACAAACTTAAGCTCACAAGTGTTCTTTATACAAGGAGTATCTTTATCAT